GGCTTTCTCTTTTTCTTTCCCCAGACTTCTGCCCTTTGCTGTTTGCTTGGCCGGACAAGCTGGGACTCCAGCCGTCCGGGGTGTCTCACTTCTTCGGCGGAGAGGCCGAGGCCGCCGCGGTCGCAGCGGCCGGTCCCCCACACGCATGCAGGCGCCTGGCAGCGGCTAGGCGCCGCCGCGGGCTGCGGCTTTCGGCGCAGGCTTGGGCTTCGGGGCGGTGGCGGGCTTCTTCAGCTTCTTGAGAAGGTTGGACCACTCCTTCAGCTGCGTCTCCAGAGTTTGTTTGTTGAAGGCCAGCCCTGTCTTCTTGCTGCCGCCCGCACAGAGCGTGGCCTCGTCCAGCCAGGAGCGACACTTCGCTGCCGCGGTCTCCAGGTCGGACCGGTCCTCCTCCGTCGCGCCCGGCACCGAGAAAAGCTGCTTGGTGGCGTTAGCGAAGCTGGGCAGGAAGGCCGAGAGCTTGGGCAGCGCCGCGGAAGCCGCGCGGAGGCACTGCACACCTTCCTTCTTCTCCGCACACACGGCCCCCGGCTGGGCGGGACCGGCCCGTCTGCGCGAGGATCCGGCCGCGCTTGCTGTCCGGATTCGGCGCCGTGTAGGCCGGACCGCGCTGCCGAGGGGAATCGCTGCCCGAGTCCTCCGGCCGCCACGAAGCAGCGGCCTCCGAGGTCCAGCGCCAGTCGACACTGCCAGAGCCCTGTTCGCGGGCTACCTCCCGGCCGCGTGCGCTGTTGCCCGAGTCCGAGTCTGGCAGCGGCCGTCCACTCACCATCGTATTCCGTCCACGCGCCCGGCCGCCACCAGGTCTGGCGCCACGCTTGCCAGGACCAAGCCTGGTCCCAGACAGCCGAGTCTTCCTGCTCCACACCCGGTGGGGCCCGCGGCTCCACGTGCGAGTGCACCTGGATACGTGGCCAGATGGGCTGACCTGGCACAGTCAGTGGCGGGAACCGCACAATGCGCTCTGGCTCCGGCTCCTGAAGCGCTGTCGTCCTGCGGCCGGGCCCTGTTGCTGCCGGCGCGTCACTTGCAGGGCTTGCAGCGGCTGCCGGCGCCGCCGCCTCTGTGTCAGTCGCCGGGCTGGTAGCGGTTGCAACGACCGCCTGGCCTGTCTGACTTCCCGGGCTTGCGGTTGGTGCGACCGCCTTGTCTGTCGCACTTGCCGGGCTTGCAGCGGCCTCTGCCGCCGCCGCAACGCCCGCCACCGCCGCCGGCTCCGCGTTCCGGCGCGGATCTGCTGCCGGAGCAGCGGCGCTCAGCACAGCGGCTGGGGTCTGCGTCTGAGTCCCTGCCGCCCCTGGCAAGCCCTCAACGTGCACCACAATGTGCAGCGTCCAGTGTTCCATGGCTGAATGCTGAACCCGGGCTACAAAAAGACCTCAGTGTTACTGGCCTGCTGTCGGGAGGGAGGGTTAGATCTGGGGACTGCCGTGCGGAAAAGGAGCTAGAAAGCGCTTTGTGTTGCTACATATGTGTGTTTCCTTGAATGGCCGGCTTCTCCACCGCCACCTCCTCTTCCGTGTCCGAGTAACTCTCCTCGAGAGGCACACGGCCCTCAGCGGGCTTGGCAAGCGGGTCGGCCGGCGCTGCTCGGCCTAACTCTGCCGGCGCCTCTGGCTCCCGCAGCGGCTCATGCGGCGCTGCTGCGTCTGCCGCCTCGTGCACAGCGGCCTGGTCGGGCTCGGCCGCCGCGAAAGCAGCGGCCGGTGGCTCTGCTCCTTCGGCCACTGCGTCCGCCGGTGCGGCCACCGCATCAGGCCCGCCGCCCGCGACCTCGACTGGTTGATACACGACCAGGGAGCAGCGGATCACCAGCCGAGTATTCTCGTCCACCTGGATGACGTGGGGCGGAAAGTCGTGGTGCCCCGGTCGAGCCATGGCAGCTGGAGGACGCGGCGGGGGCATGCAGTGTGTTGCTGTAGCTGCCTATACCTGTCATTTCCCTGACGCCTCCGATTTGTTGTATATATAAATATGTCTACGCTTCGTGTTGGTGTTTCACATGCAAGGTGCATGCAGGACTGTGACCTGGCTGGTCTGCTGGCGAGCCGACATGCTCTGTGTACATGTGATGCGTGTCGCGTGCTTGGTTTATATATATATATATATATAAATAGACATATATATATATATATATATATATCAACAAATATATATATATATATATATGTATATATGTATATACAGACATGCTGACATGCATGAGAAACGCTGCAGACTGAAAGTATACAGCTTTCGCGGCTGTTACTCAGACCTGGCGCAGGTACAAGTCCACGCGGCCTATAACATCCACGTGTGGGAGGAGTGTCGCCTGGAAAGGCGAGGTTGCGACCAGGTGCCAGGTGCTGGGCCCTGTCCTCGGGGCCGCCTCTCCTGCTGGCGTTGGGACGGACGCAGCAGGGCCCGGCACCGTGCCAGCCGCCGCCAAGGCAGCGGCTGCCGCAACGGCAGCGGCGGCAGGACCTGGCACACTCGCTGCCGCCGCCAATGCAGCGGCTCTCGCAACGCGACTGGCGGCAGCCGTGCCAGCGTCACCCTCCGCCGGCGCCGCAGTGTCCCTACTCTCAGCGGCGTTGGCCGCCGCCATTGCCTCGGTTTCGGCTGCCGCAGCCACCTCCGCAGGCGGGGGCAGCGGCGGCGGCGCAGGCACCGGCTTGGCGGGTGGAGGCAGCGGCGGCGGCGCTGGCGGCGGGCACGGTGGTCGCTTCGAGGGGGTCCATGCGGGCCACTGCGCCACTGAGCCTCGCCGCGGCGGGGGCACCAGTCTCCCGGTCCGCTTCGGCGCAGGGTGCTTCGGCGGTGTTTTCGGCGCAGCCGGCGCCTTCACCTCTGCCGCCGCCTTCTGTCGTCTTGCTCGGGCCCAGGCTTCGGCAGCGGCACGAGCACGCGGATTCTCGCGGTCACCTTCGCGGTCCTCGTGGCCTCGCTTCATGACCACTGGTCTGATCGGAGCCACAGGGGCGTCGGTGTACATACATGCAGACATCTGCTACACTGAAACCTTACATGAGCTCAGGTTGCAATCGCTTGTCATGTACACACAGCGGACCTGCTTCAGGCATGTGTGCTCTTGTTTTTCGTTTCCGGCAAGCGCTCTCCTAAAAACCTCGCTTGCGCCAGCAGCTGAGGCAGCAAAGGGGCCGGTAGCGACAACGGGAACAGCCTTTGGCAAACTGCTTCTTCAAGTGCGCCGGGACGCGAGCAAGGACCTTGTCCCGAGCAGACTGCTCGAGGACGCCGGCTGGCCGCAGCATCACCGCGGCCGCTGGCCGCAGCATCACCGCGGCCGGTCTCTTTGCTGGTCGGCCCAGGTCAGCGGCCGAGGGCCGCCGAAGCACGGGTCCCACCTTCTCCTTGGCTTTCGGCGTCGCCTTGGCCTTGGCCTTGCCTTTCGGACGGCCCTTCGCCTTCGCCTGCACCTTCGCCTTCGGCTGCGGCTTCGCTTTCGCCTGGACCTCCGCCTTCGGTCGTGGAGCCGCGGCCGGCCCCTGGAGAGCTTCGAAGGCCGCATCTCTGGTCGTCACTTGGCCGGTGCGCTCAAGCTGTCGCTCCTCCATGGCTCGCGAGATGAGCTGCGCAGTTCTCTGCAGCAAAGGCTGGGCAGGACGGGGTTCGCTGGCCGGCACAAGCACTTCAGGCCGCACAGCTGCACGGCCTGCTGCGACAGCCTCACATGGCGCAGGTGCAGCCGCCACTGGCTGTTCTTCACGCGCTGGCGCGATCTCGACGGGGAGTTGGCGCAGCCACCAGCGGGAGAGACTGCGGGTCTCCCTCACCGGCCACATCGGAAGCGTCAGCCGCCGGAACAGCGGCCGACGCGTCAAAACTACCGGCCGCCGGAACAGCGGCCGTCGTGGGCGATGACGCTTGGGCGCCATTCTGCAAGGCCAACATGCCACGCAGCGGCTGCGAGACAACAGGGGGGCTGGATGCTTGGGCCCCGCTGCGAACCGCGTGCGGGAAAATCGTCAACTGAGGCTGCGTCCGGCCCGTCCCGCGGGGAAGCAAGCCCGCAGCGGAAAGAAGCCCTTCCAGGTTCGTGCGGGAACCTGAGTCCCGTGGCAGTCGCAGTCGAAACATGCCCTGCAGAACGTTCAGGGTTGCCTCAGGCACGACCTGCGTGTCAGGCAGCGGGTCTCGGCCATAGATCTCCGCATAAGTGTCCGGGGCCAGTCCTTGCGGCGTCTGTGGCAGGTCCGTGCAGTAAGGCACCAGGCTGGGCGTGCTTGCTTGCAGCCTTGTCATCGCCGCCTTGATCTTGCCTTTGCAAGTCGTGAACTGCGCGTTGATCTCTGACTCCAGCATGTTCGGAAAGCCATGCCTGTACCGAGTCAAGACGAACAGACGCGCGTAGGTTGCCTCGGAGGGGTACTGCAGGCCCAAACGCAAGCAGAGCTGCATCAAGGAGCTCAATGCTTCCACCTGCTGGACTGCATTGGCGTCCACCGCCTGCGCCGCGTACAGCGCTGCCCACACACTCGTGGGAAGAAAGGCAGCCACACTCTGGTAGTTCTGCAGGCGGTGCCTTCCACGGGCGTCCCTGCTCGCTTCCGCCGCCCCGCCTGCTTCCGCCATCGTGTGAGCGTCTATATACAGCAAAGCACCAAATTCAAGCCCAACAGCCACGGGATGAGGCCAGGACCACATCAAGAAGCGTGCTCATGCTGGAACCCATGACAAATCATCACAAAAACTAAGCATTTTTTGTGCTTTTATGACAAATTGCACTTTTGACACTACACGAATCCAACGGTTGTCAATGAAATGGCCAAAATCCTTAAAAATATAACTGGAAATAACTGGAAATAGCTACTTTTGGTCCCGAAAACCTGACCAAAAACATGAAGACGCAGAGTAACTATTAGCAGTTGTCTAACTGCTAATAGTTGCCTGAGTAACTGTCAGCAGTTATATCCGGTTACAATTGCATATAACTGCTGGAAGACCCTCCCCGTAGGGATGTTGCTGCAGCATTTCCTAAGAAAACAGTCGGGTATGAGGCCGGTGATGCGCAGCTCTTCCCTGAGTGATGGCGCGGTTCCTTGTGAGTCTTCTCCCGAGCCCGAAACTCCGCATCCTGCGAGAGTGTCTTCCACGCCCTTGCAGGGTTTAGTGTTTAGGGTTTGCGCGCCAGGATACTAAGCCCGAAGCCCCAGACCCGAATTCCTAAAACCCTGCAACGCTCTATGCAGCCTCGAAACCTTTAAGCCCTCAACCCTGGAAACTAAACTGTATAGTACACGCGTGAGAATAAGAAGTGCTTCTTGAAGCTTTTCCCTATAAACCCTAAACCCTCACAAGCCCTCGGCCCCTCTCGGGTTTAGGGTTTTGACAAACCTAACCCTAAAACCCTTTAAACCCTAAACCTTGGGATGTTCCCCCTTATACTAACAGTCCTTTAAGCGGGACTCTAGTACCCCTCTTTTTATAATCCCTATCAAGGACTGCCAGTATAAGGGGGAGCATCCCAAGCCTTAAACCCTAAACCCTAAACCCTAAACCTCCTGATTCTGGAACAGAGCTTCTTGCATCCGGCGCGATCGGAGCCGACCAGAGGTCGCGCCACTTAGGGGTTTCGTGTCTCGGTGTTTAGGATCTGGGGGTCTAGGCTTTCGGATTGTTTTTGGGGTTTCGGGTTTGTAGTTTCGTTAGCAGTTTAAAGGGTGTAGGATCCGATGATTCGGAAGATCCTTGTTAACCCTAAAGCCCCTGTGACTCAGCAGTGGACAAATCTACTTCACTGGGCCCCTCCGTGTGGCCTTCTTTGCTTCCAGTTAGACCCTCTGATTGCCGTACCACTACGGCCTTTCTGGCCAAGCCATGATGGCTTTTGCGTCTTTCCCACGGCGCATTTACAGTAAAAAAATATAATAATATGCACACGTACCCTCGAGCCTTCAGTGGTAAGTGTATGCCCTGCCTTGATCTGGTTTCGGGTTTCCTTGTAGGCACTGCTGTTGATTCCCCATAAGCCCCTAAACCCCCAAGCGCTAAACTCCCAAACAGCCCTAAGTCCCTAAAGCCCTATAGACCCTAGAAAAAACCCAAGCAGTACGGAACCTTGAAATACTCACAAATACTATGCCTTCCCTAAACCCTAAGCCCCAGTGCTTCTTTTTGCACCTGGGCCATGAGCCCCTCGGGTCTAGGGTTAGGAAATTCTAAACCCTAAGCCCTAAGCCCTTCTTCAAACTAAGCCCTAAGCCAAAAACTCGAACAAGACGCTCAAGTCTCGACTCAAAGAGCCCTCGCAACGCTCTTGAGCCGTACGAACGATCAGTGGCGACCGCTCGAATTCAAAACGTACACTCCAATAGATGCACGACAAGCCCTAACCCCAAGTCCAAAACGCTCAACTTCACCTTCAGCCCTATCTAAGCCTTATAGCAGACACAAGGGGATTGCCAAATAGACCCTAAAGGTCCATGCCGCATAGAACAAGAGGGTTCTGCCCGGACAGCCAAAGCCAAGGAAAGATCACCAACAAGAAGAGAGTCTTTACCCTCCGATCTCGCGCAAGTTGAGGTTTAGGGCAGGCGGTGCAGAGGCCCAGTCTCCTATTTGGGCCTCAATTCCTTGTAGGGGACCGTTGAAAGGGGGCAACAATTTTGATCAGTACAATGTATTTCCTTAGGATTCTGGTCACTCCTAAACCCTAAACCCTAAACCCCAAACCCTAAACCCTAAACCCCAATCCCTACAATCCCTCATCCCCGAAGCCCAAATGAAAGAAGCTCCTTGTAGGGCCTTGAGCTTTACCTGGCCTTGGCGCTGGAGAAAGCCGGGCGCCTGGAGGACTCCGTGGCTGCTTGAGTTTCAGGGTTTAGGGTTTAGGGTTTAGGGGTTAGGGTTTAGGGTTTAGGGTTTAGGGTTTAGGGTTTCGGGTTTAGGGATATTTGTTTGGGTTTGCGGGTTTGGGTCTTGGTTGATTGGATTTAGGGCTTGAGTGTCGTGGTTTCAAGTTTATGGTTTGGGCTTCTGGTTTGGAGAGTTCAGGGCTTTGGTTGTTTGGTTTTGGACGTCGGGATTAGGGTTTAGGGTTTAGGGTTAGGGTAGGCCAAAGCAATGCCGGGGGGTGCTGGGTGGGAACGTGGCATGGATGGTTAGGTGGGGCCGAGACGCTAAGTAAACCCGCTACCGAGTCCTTCAACTGTAGACCTAAACCCCTGAACTGGCCCTAAACCCTAAAGCCGCAAACCCGAAACCCTAAACCCTCTAAACCCTAAACTCTAAACCCTAAACCCTAAACCCCAAACCCCAAACCCTAAACCCTAAACCCTTAACCCATAACCCTTAACCTTAAACCCTAAACCCTAAACCCTAAACCCTAAACCCTAAAACCTAAACCCTAAACCCTAAACCCTAAACCCTAAACCCTAACCCTAAACCCTAAACCCTAAACCCTAGCCAAACCTTAGCTCAACCCCAGGAGAGCAAGAGGCTCCTGGAGGACGTCGCGCGGCGCGGCACCGCTCGGAGGAAGCGCCAGGCTTCCGGAAGGGGGCGGAGCCTCACAGGTTACCCCACAAGGGCTTCGATTAGGGTTTAGGGTTTAGGGTTTAGGGTTCAGGGTTCAGGTTTAGGGTTTATATAGGGTTTAGGGTTTAGGGTTTAGGGTTTAGGGTTTAGGGTTTAGGGTTTAGGGTTTAGGGTTTCGGAGCAAACCCCTGGAGGGCCCGCAGTGTCCATCCTTGCTTGAGGTAATTTAGGTTCCCGTTGTATGTTGAGTTTAGGGTTTAGGGTTTAGGGTTTAGGGTTTAGGGTTTAGGGTTTAGGGTTTAGGGTTTACAGCATCATATACCCGATGCCACTGCAATCCCTGTTTACTGTTTGGGTATGTGGAAACCTTTTCAGGGTTCATTTTGTCCTCAAGGTTTGGCAGGTGACTGGGATCAGGCTGTTGTTTCAACACTCAACTGTGTGTTTACTCAGCACACTGGAGCCAAAAGCTTTGTTTCATGGAGTTTTTGGTCCTCTTATCTGCATAAACCCTAAACCCTAAACCCCAAACCCCAAACCCCAAACCCTAAACCCTAAACCCTAAACCGCATGAACATGCCGTACTGTAATAGTTAGTTTCTGATGTCGGTAATCGCCCTCCCCTTCAACCCGACCAACGCGCGAACACAACTTGCTTCCTTCAACATCGACTCCTGGTGAGAAGCGGCGTTGGGGATGGCTGACTTGTATACTTCCTTGGAGAATAAATGAACCCTACAAGCAGAAAGTCTTATGGCCCATGTACCTAAACCCTAAACCCTAAACTCGAAACCCTAAACCCTAAACCCTAATTAAACCCTATCATTTTATCGGTTTCACGCAATCCGGCGGGCCCCAAAGCGAGTTCACACTTTTGGCACGAAGAGCCAGCCCCTGTTGAGCCCCTCCCCCGGCGCCCCGGCCGCCGGAGGCAGAGTGGGCGCTGCTGGTGCAGGAGCGCAGCTGAACCCAAAAAACCCGAATAAACCTTGAAACCTTGACCTGTAGTAGGGTTTAGGGATTAGGGTTGAGGGTTTAGGGTTAGGGTTTAGGGTTTAGTGTTTAGGGTTTGGGGTTTAGGGTCCCAACAAGCCTAAAACCCTAAGCCCTACAAACCCCAAGACCCTAAACCCTACAGCTTAGCCCGCCCAGCTTGATGGTTACAAAATGGTTCCTGCCTTTGTGGAAACATCAATGATGTTTTTTCTTCGATTTAGAGCCGTGTGGGGTTCAGGGTGTAAGGGTTTAGGGTTTAGGGTTCAGGGTTTAAGGGTATACAGATTCATGAAGTTCAGCGAGCTGGCCTGATATCCATGAGCCCGGTACGGCTTGCTGTTCTACAATTGCACGGAAAGACATGAGAGATCAAGCCACGCTTCGCACGGCTGCGGACATGACGGCCATGTGTCGCAACTTGTACACGAGCTTTTATGGGGATCCGTCAGCAGAATCGCCCGTCATATTCGTTACATTCGCCTTAGAAACCGCCGTGGGGCTGCGAGTTGCGCCTGTGCTGTTTGGAAAGGAATCTAGGATGTATCCTAGGCAACACTGATGTTGCGTCGGGCTTTCCCTGCGATTGCACTCCCCATTCTCTTATCCCCTAGGATGCCCAGAAGTACCCTTTTTCCCTTTTGTTTTTTTTTTTGGGGGGGGGGTTAGGTTCCATTGCAAACGCCTTTAAGCAGACAAGGGCACTCTTTTTTTAATCCTAGGTTACTGGGCAACCTCGTCCCTGACTGCCTCATTTCTCAGATCTCTGGGAGGATCCAAAAAAGTAGAACCCCCAAATACTACCCTATACTGCTATTGGGTCATTCTTAGGAACCCTAAACCCCAAACCCTAAACCCTATATAAACCCTAAACCCTAAACCCGAAACCCTAAACCCTAAACCCTTCCAGGGGTCTGGCGTGCCGCAAGGATGCCGACGTCGGATCGGAGCCGCCCGAGAGCGTGGCAGAAATGCGCGCCATTTGGGGGCAGGTCGGCCTGCAACCCCTAAACCCTAAACCCTAAACCCTAAACCCTAAACCCTAAACCCTGAACCCTAAACCCTAAACCCTAAACCCTAAACCCTAAACCCTATAAAGCCTAAACCCTAAACCCTAAAGGGCTCAGCAGCTGAGGAGGATTCAGCGAATTTCTGGGGATGCGGATCAAAAAACAATCTATTTAGGATCAAGAAATAATTTATTCTGTTCTTCCGACGGAGAGAGGGAAGGGGAGAGAGGAGGGAGGGAGGGAGAGAAGGAGGGAGGGAGGGAAGGAGGGAAGGAAGGAAGGGCGGAAGGACGGCAGGAATGAAGGAAGGAAGGAAGGCAGGAAGGAAGCAAGGAAGGAAGGAAGGAAGCAAGGAAGGAAGGAAGGAAGCAAGCAAGCAAGGAAGCAAGCAAGGAAGCAAGCAAGGAAGCAAGCAAGGAAGCAAGCAAGGAAGCAAGCAAGGAAGCACGCAAGGAAGCAAGCAAGGAAGCAAGCAAGGAAGCAAGGAAGGAAGCAAGGAAGCAAAGAAGGAAGGAAGGAAGAAATCAAGAAAGAAAGAAAAAAAGAAATTTCACAGGAAAGAAAGCAAGGAAGAAGTCGTGCCAGCTTGCTTCAAAACCCATTATGCGAGCATTGTGTTTGCAAATTGGGGCGGGGGGGGGGGGGGGGGGCTGCACCCCCCCCGCCCCCCAACCCCCCCGCTATATTTTGAGTCGTGCCAGGTGCTTCAGCATACCTTCGAAACCCACGATGCGAGCATTGTGTTTGCGCATGGGGGGGCGCGCCCCCTCCAACCCCCCCCCCCCCCCCCCCCCGCTCTTTTTCTTGAAATCGTTCTGGCTTGCTTCAGAGTATACGCTTTTTTTCTGAAGCTTCTAATGCCAAGATGCCAGCATTGATTTGCAGCCTCTGGAAACTCAGAAATGCTGCTATTTACAGTATTTCCAGCCTCTGAAAGAGCAGAAAATGCTGCTATTTAGAATATTTGCAGCCTTTGGAAATTCAGAAATGCTGCAGGGTACAGTATTTCCAGCCTCTGAAAGCGCAGAACTGCTGCTATATACAGTATCTGCAGCCTCTCTGGAACTCAGAAATGCTGCTACTTTCAGTAGTTCCCGCACAAATGCCGTTGTGTTTTGGTATTTCGAGCTTGCAAACGGCCAGAAATGCTGCATTTCTGAGCGTTTACAGCCTCCGCTCCGCTTGCGACAGGCCTTCGCAGCCTTCAGTAAATTATTTTTTGATCCCAAATAAGTTTTTTTGATCCGCCTATACATAAATTATTTTTTTGATCCCAAATATATTTTTTGATCCCCTACCCGAATTTCTGCCAGCGCCTCGTGCTTGTCGCATTCATACAACGTCCCGGTCGCCCCTGTCATCAGAAACACGAATTCAGGCAACCAAAAGCTCAAGCTATGACAGTCGGGTGTGGATTCTTTTGGATACCGGTTATACCGCCCGGGCCCTTACATGTTCAACCCCCCCGCCCCTCTCCCTTGTGTGGATGCCTGTAAAGCCGCCTAAGACCCCTAAAACCTAAGCCCTAAATCCCAACACCTGAACTACTTTCGTCTCCAAGACCCAAGGGGAAACACAGGTTACACTGTTTGTTTATTCCTTCTATATAAGTACGGAAACCCAAAAACGTTTAGAGTTTAACGACCGGCTAAGCAAAATGAGATGCAAAGCCGTAAGTCCGTGCAGGCCGACATGCCTGGCGGAAGCAGCGGCCGTGGTACAGGCGCCATGGGCTATTCGGGTTTACATATGGTGAACAAAGCTTGCTCAGGACCTCACCTTTGGCCTACAGGAGCAAGAAAAGACACATCACACTTGCTACCAGCCGGAGCTTGCAGATGCAAACTTTGGAGTCCTTTCTTGCAGGGCTCCATTTTGGGAGTCACTGAGCGAGCCTCTTCGATCAATCTTCGCTGCCCGAGTCGCTCCAACCTGACCTTGGAAGTTTCAGGAGGCGTAGGGCATCGCGTTGTCTCTGATGGCCCAGGAGCGGCAGCTGCAAGGCTTACAGCATCTTTCCTTGAGCATGGAAAAGCCCGGATAAGTCCTCCAAATCAACCCCTCAACCTGCCATACCGTCACTGCGGATCAGCGTCCCGCTTCTGAGCGGTACCGCCCTTGTCCTGTGATGCTGAGAGACGTGCAGCAGATCCAGGCAAAGTGCGGCCGCATTTGCTGCGATCCTTGCCGATGGATCTGTTCTTGGAGGACCACATGAACCCTAGGTTCATGGTGCATACCTAATAGGATTATGGTAGTAAAGGGCGTATGACCCCCCCCCCCCCCCCAAATTTTCGGGTTCATTTGGTCCCCAAGGTTGTTGCATGGGGGCGCACCTCCAGAGCCAGATGAGGAACGTGTTGCACATCCAAGCTTCGGCATCAGCATGCGGGTTTAGGGTTTAGGGTTTGGGGTTTAGGGTTTAGGGATTAGGGTTTAGGGTTTAGGGTTTAGGGTTTAGGGTTTAGGGTTTAGGGTTTAGCTGCGATTCTGGATGATGGTGCTGTTGTCGCTTGGGGCTCTGCTGAGCACGGCGGAGGCAGCAGCACTGTCAATTTCTAGACAACAAGAAACACATACCTTAGGGCCACTTGGAAGTGATTTTCCATTTTTGGGCATTATCATTCCTAATGCTAGGGTTCCAAGTTCAGTATAGAGACGTTATGTGTGCGTGTCTGTGTTCATCTGTTCCACATGCCCGGAGCATGGCATTAGGGTTCAGGGTTTAGGGTCTAGGGGGTCATCAGCCAGGACAGAAATCTGAAGAGCTGGCTTCAGACCCAGCAACCCTAAACCTTACCCTAAACCCTTAACCGTAAACCCTAAACCCTAAACCCTAAACCCTAAACCCTAAACCCTAAACCCTAAACCCTAAACCCTAAACCCTAAACGCAGCCGTGTCTGAATTGAGATGGTGCAGGTGCGGGGCGTGCGATGTTGAAGCGGAAGTCTCAGGCGCAAGTCCGACTTGAGTGAGAATTTCAGACCGATGACATGTGCCACGAAGGCTATGCAGGCTCAATCGCCATGTGGGCGAGTAATATCGAGGGTTCTTCCAGCAATCCTAAACCCTAAACCCCAAACGCCAAACCCTAAGCAGGTCTTGCACATCCAAAAGCTGAAGTGGCTTCTGGGAGAAGCTTGGGGCAGTTCTCAGAAACCCTAAGCCCCAAACCCCAAATTCCTAAACTTAAACCCTAAACCCTAAACCCTAAACCCTAAACCCTAAAGTTTAGGAAAAAGAGGCGCCCTTTTTCCAGAGCTCAAGCTTCGGCATGGCCGTGGCCGTGGTCGTGCTCGCCGTGGGCTGAGGGGCTGGTAGTGCAATTTTGGGGTTTTCGGATTTAGGGTTTAGGGTTTAGAGTTTAGGGTTAGGGTTTAGGGTTGAGGGTTGAGGGTTGAGGGTTCAGGGTTCAGGGTTCAGGGTTCAGGGTTTAGGGTTTAGGGTTAGGGTTTAAGGGTTTAGGGTTTAGGGTTTAGGGTTTAGGGTTTACGGTTTACGGTTTAGGGGTTAGGGGTTAGGGTTTAGGGTTTAGGGTTTGGGGTTTGGGGTTTGGGGTTTGGGGTTTAGGTTTAGTGTTTTGGGTTTAGGGTCAGGGATTGCAGCGTTTAGGGTTTAGGGTTAGGGTTTAGGGTTTAGGCTGTTGTGGCTTTAGGACTTACAAGGCCGCAAGGGTTACGAAGGTTGCAGGGGCTATAAGGGTTGTGGGGTTGGAAGGGATATAGGCGATGTAGGGGCTCCGGTTTAGGGGCTATGGAGATATGTAGCGTGATACAATGTTTTCGGCTTATATATTGTTTATGGCTCTAAGCTTTTATTGGTCAACGAGCATGTTTCATATTATGGGTATGTAAGCTTGGGGGAGAGGATCATTTGGGTTTTTTAGGACTCGAGGTACCTAGGGTTTGGTGCACTTCGGGCTTCGGGTTTACTTGGTGCCTTATGGGTCGAATTGCAGGTAGCAGGTACCCTACAAGCCCTGCAAGTATCTCTCGAAGGAGTCTTAGGGTTTAGGGTTTAGGATTTAGGGTTTAGGGTTTAGGGTGGGGTGAATGGCTGATGCTCAAGTGAGGCGCTCCCGCTGGCGTTACCGCTGCTCCTGACATTGCGGTAGCTCCTTGCAAGGGCTGCGTGGTTTAGGGCTTATAGGGTATCGGGTTAGGGTTTAGGGTTTAGGGTTTTTAGGGTTTAGACAGCCCTGAAAGATGTATGGGCCATTTACTTGAGCACCAAGGCGTTCTGCTCATGTTGGACTATGATCCCAAACACCTTTTTCCCAGACATTTCCAAAGCCCAAAAACCCCCCCCAAAACCCCGCATAACCCCGCATAACCCAACCCAAAACCCTAAAACCCTAAACCCACATCATGGCAACCTCAGCACTGCATCAGTCAGGGTGGAGCTTAAGTGGAGGGGGGAGTGCGAAGTCCCTGATTAGGCTTCCAGGTTGCGTTCTGCATGTATCTGGGGTAGGGTTTAGGGTTATTGGGGGCTGAATACTAACACCCTCAGCGGTCGTTTGGAGCTGAGCGGACCTAGTGAAGCCTAAGTTTGGATCATGTACCCTATGTACTGAAGTAACACACCCCTCTACTTCACCAGAACCCCGCCCGCAGTTGGAGCAGTTTTCCTCACATGTCAAACAAGCGCACCACCAAGCCAGAGAAAAGGCGGCAACCAAGCACAGATAGTTCAGCTGTCGATGCAGGATTTGCTTTCAGTGTGAAGGGCTCATTTGGTCATCCCCTACCCAATACCCAAGATTTTTGGGCTTCCGTAGGTGCCAGATGTCCTGGTGCGTTCGTAGGGTACGTCCATGGTTTCTTGATGTGCCCCTTCATCTCTTCACGCTGAAGCAAGGGCCCTAAACCCTAAACCCTAAACCCCTAAACCCCTAAACCCCTAACCCCCTGAACCCTACACCCTAAACCCCTAAACCCTAACCCCTAAACCCCTAAACCCCTAAAGCCTAAACCCTAAACCCCCCTAAACCGAGGGCCCTTGGGCTTGCTAGGGCAAGGGGTACATAAGGGGTCCCCTGTTCGCCGCCGAAGGCAGGGACCATGAAACTGCCCTATTGTGCGTTGTCGGTCTGAAGCTTGGGCCCGGGATGACTAGTAGTATATATATATATATATATATAGGCAGTATAGGTAAATAGCTGGTAAATATGACACTATAATCGAAGCTAGGGGTACCTTCTTGGGAGCCTGATTGTTGGAGTATCCTACTATTTGGGGTCTATTGGGGGTCCCCTATTTTTGCAAAGCCCCATATGATTTCATTTTGTACGGTTCACTTGGTCCCGAAGGCTTTTGGTAGAGCCATGTCCCTCGAACCTTGGGGACGAAATGAACCCCAAAAGGGTTTATGGTTCACATACCTTAACAGGAATTTTCGTAGTATCGGGTATATGACCCCAACTTTAATGGTTCATCTAATCCCCAGAAAAGGAGAGACACACTGCAGCGTTGCGCATCACCCCTAAAACCCTAACCTTAAACCCTAAACCCTGTAACCCCTAAACCCACGCAGGTGTCCCCGACCACCAAGGCGAAGGCACACGTCCTGGAGCTGTGGACCTTGCCATTTCCTATAGCCCCTTTAGGAAAATCATTTCGTGATCTTTACTTCTATAAACCTTAAGGGAATACTAAATCAATGAACAAGAATGACAATGTTAATATATATATAATATAAATAAATAAATAAATAAATAAATAAATAAATATATATATATATATAAGCTTTTTTAGTAAGGTTGTAAGGGGAGTATAGTTTCTTTCCGCCATGGTCATGCCGCTTACCTTGCAGTGCACCGTTGTTTGGCCAACACGTTTCGGGACCCCAAAGCAAGAGGTTACTAGAGCCCGCACCACAGTCAGGTGGTGCCTGGAAGTTTTCGGGGGGGGGGGGGGGGGGGGGGGGCTAGAATGGGAGGATCATAGTCCCTTCCCCTGCTGCAATAAGCAACTCTTGCTTAAAAGGTATATGAAAATCCCTAGCTAGAATGTAAAGAACACATTCCCGAATTCAGTGACATTGAGGCCTCGCGGGGTTTTATAGCTTAATTTTGACTTCTAAACCCTAAACCCTAAACCCCAAACCCTAAACCATAAACCCCGAGCAACCTAAACCCTAAACCCCAAACCCCAAACCCCAAACCCCAAACCCCAAACCCGAAACCCCAAACCCTAAACCCTAAACCCCAAACCCTAAACCCCAAACCCTAAACCCTAAACCCCTGGCCAGGCTCACACCTTGCTGCCCTTGATTGGCAATCTCCAGAAGCTGGAAGCGGAACAGAAGGTACCGGGTTTAGGGTTTAGGGTTTAGGGTTTAGGGTTTAGGGTTTAGGGTTTAGGGTTTAGAGGGTTTGTAGGATTTGGGTTTTTGTTGAGGGTTTTGACGGTTTAGGGTTTAGGGTTTAGGGTTTTAGGGTTTAGGGTTTAGGATTCAGGTTGTTCAGGGGTTTGTCGGGCCTATGGGTGTACAGAGTTTTGTAGCGTCTGTGAGGTTTGCAGGGTTCATGGGGTTTAGAGGGCTTACAGTTACAGGACTTGAGCCCCGGATTTTGTCGGGTTGTGGTCTAGTGTTCAGGGTGTGGGGTTTAGGGTTTAGGGTTAGGGCCGGTTCGGGTTTAGGGCCTTGGCGTACCGTCCTGAAACTGGGGTTAGGGTTTAGGGTTAGGGTTTAGGGTTCAGGGTTTCGGGTTAGGGGTTTAGGGTTTGGGGTTTAGAGTTCAGGGTTTTCAGGGCTTATTCCGTCCCAAGACGCTATAAAAACCCTATGAAACCCTTCTAAACAACCCTACTACTTGAACCCCATAAAGCCTGTAAACTCTGTATGAATGCTATATAATCCCTAAACCCTAAACCCTAACCATCCCTAACCCTTAAACCCTAAACCCCTAAACCCCAAGCCCTAAACCCTTAACCCTAAACCCCAATCCCAAACCCCAAACCCCTAATTAAACCCCAATCCCTAACCCCAAACCCCAAACCCCTAAACCCTAAACCCCAAACCCCAAACCCCAAACCCTAAACCCCAAACCCTAAACCCTAAACCCTAAACCCCAAGCCCTAAACCCTAAACCTCACACCAAGGCTCTGCATGTTGAAAGCCAGGAGCGCCGCGAGGAATTGGCATCGCTTCTGGCTCGGCAGCCGCCGAGGCGGACTTCGGGAGCTCTAAAGGGTTTAGGGTCTTAGGGTTTAGGGTTTAGGGCTCGGGTTTCGGGTTTCGGGTTTAGGGTTTAGGGTTTAGGGTTTAGGGTTTAGGGTTTAGGGCTTAGTGTTCAGGGTTTAGGGTGTAGGGTTTTGGGAGATTTAGGGAGATGTTTGGGTTCATATACCCTACCTGGAGGTTCAGGGCACTTATCAACCCAATGATCACTGTACTTATAAGACCGCTAAGTCCCTGCGTAGGTTACAAGCTATAAGTAGACGTAGGGTTTAGGGTTTAGGGTTTAGGGTTTAGGGTTTAAGGTTTAGGGTTTAGGGTTTAGGGTTTAGGGTTTAGGGTCTAGGGTTTAGGGTTTAGGGTTTAGGGTTTAAAGTTTAGGGTTTATGACTGGGCAAGCTCTATGATCCCAACAGCGAAGACCAGCACCCTAAACCCTAAACGTCCCAAACCCTCAACCCCCATAAACTCTATAACCCTGAACCCCCTAAACCCCAAAAATCCCTAAACTCCCTAAAGGAAAAACCCTAAAAACCTAAACTCTACACCCTGAACCCCAGCCCTAAACCCTAAACTCCAAACCCCAAACCCCAAACCCCAAACCCCAAACCCCAAACCCCAAACCCTAAACCCCTCACCCTAAACCCTAACCCCAAATCAACTTGGAACCCCACAGGCCGAGCACGAAAGAGGAGGCGGATCGCGGGGGGCCTCAGCTGAGCGGCCCTCACACGTAGCAAAGCCTGATGTGCCCAGCGGCTTCACCCTAAGCCCTAAACCCCTAAACCCCTAAACCCTAAACCCTAAACCCCCAACCCCCCGCCAGCAAGTGAAACTAAGCCGCTCGGATACCACAACAATACTCACATCACCATAGCAAACACAACGGATAGCAATCATCGCCATGTGTAAAGTCAAAAGTATTGGATCTAATAATTGACCGGTCGTGAGTATTTTGCCCGCGAGTCCCTGGAGTGTCCCCTGAACCCTAAACCCTAAACCCTAAAACCCTAAAGCCCTAAAACCCTAAAGCCCTAAAACCCTAAAACCCTAAACCCTAAACCCTAAACCCTAAACCTAAACCCTAAACCCTAAACCAAACCCTATAAAACCCCAAGCCACCTAAACCCTAAGCCTGGATGGTCCCCGACCCAGGGCGAGCTCTGATCCAAGCGAACTTGAAATCCCTGGAGGACAGCATCGGCCCGTTTCCATGAGCTGTACGTAGCCTCCTTTAGGGTTTAGGGTTTAGGGTTTAGGGTTCTTAGGAGGAGTGTAGTGAGAAACCGCTGAGGGCTGCTTCCATTAAGCCAGACCCGCCAAGAGCCTTAAAAGTCGAGCTACGCTTTTTTTAAACCCTGAACCCTGAACCCTGAACCCTGAACCCTGAACCCTGAACCCTGAACCCTGAACCCTGAACCCTGAACCCTGAACCCTGAACCCTAAACCCTAAACCCTAAACCCTAAAACCCTAAACCCTAAACCCGAAACCCTAAACCCTAACCTAAAGACCCACACAGTCTCGGAAGAACTCGATGTGGAACTGCGGAACAAGCGAGTCGCCCTACATGCAAGACCCGGCCGCAGCAGTCTCTAGGGTAGAATTTAGGGTTCAGTGTTCAGGGTTGAGCGTTTGGGGTTTAGGGTCGGGTTTGGGGTTTAGGGTTTGGGGATTTAGGGTTGTAGGGCTTTAAGGGTTGAGATCTTCAAGGTTTGGGGCTCAGAGGCTCAGAACTATACTTTATAAAAATTGAGTTTGTTTTTGGTGTCCGTAAGGGTTCTAGCAACCTTCATTAAGTTAACCGAAACCCTTGGAAATTCTTACCTTTCGAGTTCTTATTTACACCATTAATACTGAATACCCTAAGCCCTAGGCTCTAAGCCCTAAGCCCTAAGCCCCCTAAGCCCTAAGCCCCAAACCAGTACGCTTGCGGAAGCCTGCCAGACTCGGCAGAGATCTGGCAGGAGCTGAAGAGTGACGTCAGGGTGCTGTCAGCAGAGTGCGCGCGCCTGCAACCGGAGTTGGGGATGTCGACAACTTTCTGGGTGGGCCCTGGGGGGCCATGTTTACTTAGTTGCTGAGTGAGCACACTTTACACTTTTTGGGATAATATAATCCCCTATAGAACTGAAAGTGCACACGTTTTGGGGGCTTACGAACTCAGCAACTAAGTTGAAGAGGACTATCTTCGGAAGTATCTTTCAGAGGGTTCGGGCTTGATGGCGCTCGGGATTTGCCAGTCGCAGTGACCTGACTTTGATTTGCTGAAGCCCCGGCAACAGAAATCGTTCATGCTTTTCTGACGCGAATTTCAGTGCTTCAATGCTCGGAAGAGCAACAGTACTCCATGCACGACAGCTCTCCACAGGGAGCTCAGCCTGGGAGAGATCGTGACAACTCAGTCATGTTTTGCAGAAGCGACAAAACCCTAAACCCTAAACCCTAAACCCTAAACCCTAAACCCTAAACCCTAAACCCTAAACCCTGAACCAACGTAACAAGGATTTCGGGTGTGCCGCGAATGCCGGGCCAGAACAACCTTGTCCTGGGAGCCTGTCCTTCCCCAGGCCACTTATGCCATTTTTGCTCCAAGGCATGAGAAGCTCCAGCAAGTTCACACACAGCCTCTGACGACTTGCGTTTCGCAGGCTGGGAATATGGATGTCAGTTGTGGATCAACTCTTACATAATGCTCTACGCTGCTTAATTGCGGGTACCCTCTGTAAAGTCAAGTTGGCCTGGCTATTCAGGACACCCAAAGTGTTTGGGGGCCCAGAGTGGGATCCGCAATTCGTTCAAATCGTCCAGGTGTCGAAAGACAATTTCGTGGGGTGCTTCTTTAGAATCAATCGCCGGGCATCGCTGTCCCTTTTGAACTCATATAAATTCCTCTCTTTCAAGATCATATCAAACCCGTGTGCCGGTTAAGAGACAGCAAAAAACCAACTTCGACTGTTCTCGGGGGGGGGGGGGGGGGCGCACACTGAAGCAGGTCCAACATTACACCATGCATCTCCTTGGACATAAATTGTGAGATTTCGCGACTGTGAGATCTACGGTAAGTACTTGAGTCTGCGGTGGGCTGACCATAGTGCTGTAGGGGCTATATAGGGGTATATGTAAGCGGGGAATAGGATTAAGGGTCCCTTGTAGGGGTCCCTGAAGTGTTGGAGGAAACCCTAAACCCTAAGCCCTAAGCCCTAAACCCCAAACCCATGGGAGATTCAGGGGTTTTGAAGGGCGGTCTTCTGAGGCTGCTGTGCACCTGGACGTGGCCTTGCAGGCTACATATACATATGTATATATATATATTATGTATATATGTATATAAATATATATGTGGGACCTAAAAAGGACCCTGACTAAAACCAAGCCATGCAATCGCACTTGTGACGACGGATGCTGACACCGAGACCCCGGATGCCTGAGAAGGAGGCTCCCAAGCCACGCGCGCGCATGGACCCCTCAACCTCTGTATCTTCACCCTAAACCCTAAAACCCTACAATCCCAAGACCCTAAAACCCCAAAACCCTAAACCCTAAAACCCTAAAATCCTAAAATCCTAAAATCCTAAATCCTAAAGCCCTAACACCCTAAAACCCTAACCACTATCCTACAGAGGCTGGTGCCTCGCCCGGCTTTGGTGCTGGAGGCTTCCGAACCTTGGGGACCAAATCAGCCCTAACTTTTGGGATCATCTTACCCTACACATAGGGTTTAGGGTTTAGGGTTTAGGGTTTAGGGTTTAGGGTTTAGGGCTTGCTTGGGTCTTGCGGCACAAGTCCACGAAGACGTACAGCTCGCCCTAACTGTTGGTTTGTTGTGCCTTCTTTGGGTTTAGGGTTTAGGGTTTAGGGTTGGAATTTGGGACTATTCGTATGTGTGTGTGTGTGTGGACCGTAAACCTTCTGGGGATCATGTGATCATTTGCTAGGACCTTAGTCCCTTTTTGGGGGGTCTTCCCTTTAAGAGCCCCCTTAAAACCAAAAAGAGTACCCTGTTTATTCCTGGGTTCCTCTTGGGTCTAGTAGCCCTAAACCCTCAACCCTCAACCCTCAACCCTCAACCCTCAACCCTCAACCCTCAACCCTCAACCCTAAACCCTAAACCCTAAACCCTAAACCCTAAACCCTAAACCCTAAACCCTAAACCCAAGGAAGCTACTACTTGGCACACGTGGCCAAGTCTCTGGTTCCGGCGCAGCTGCCCAGGCCCGAGGAATTCCCAGGTTTAGGTTGTAGGGTTTAGGGTTTAGGGTTTAGGGTTTAGGGTTTAGGGTTTAGGGTTTAGGGTTTAGGGTTTAGGGTTTAGGGTTTAGGGTTTAGGGTGCAGGGTTTAGGGTCCAGGGATTAAGCCGCCATCTCTTTTCAAAGTACATGCGGGGGGAATTCGAAAAATCGGGCACGTTGGTTGTTTTGTTTTTTGGGTGGGGTGGGGGGGCGGGCTTTCCTGCATCATCAGGATTCATTGGTTTATGGTATTCAAGTCAAGGGGTTCCCCAAATTATTAGGGGGAAGTCCTGCCCGCAGCAAAGAGCGAAAACCAGCCCTAGACCCCCTGAACCCTCGACTTGCTTCTGATACGCCTATCACCGCGGAGCTGTGGACGTAGGGACTCCTGTGACGTGCCTTCGGGGCTTTTTGAGTGTTCTCTGGTCTGGATCGTGTTCACCTAGAACATGGGGAAACTAGGGCAATTACTCTTGGGTCTAGTAGCCCTAAACCCAAAATCCTAAACCCTAAACCCTGAACCCTAAACTAGGGTAAGTAGGGTTGGCTTGAGGGCTTCCAGGCTCTACATGCAGTTCCAGCAGCACGAGCCACCGTCAGAACTGCGGCTTTGCCAGTCCAAGGTGGAGTCGGGCAGCGCGTTTTTAGGAGTTGGATTCAGATTGGGATGTTCCCCCTAATACTAGCAGTCCTTAGTAGGGATTATGACACCCCGCATCATAATCCCTATATTAAGGACTGTTAGTATAAGGGGGAGCATCCCAAGATTGAGAGGTAAATGATGACTAATGACTGTGGTGAATGCCCTTGTCCTTCTTATCGTTGCTATAATTTCACATCACATGTCGAATCCCCGCAGCAGCTTTCCATGGACATCGGACCCTCCGGATCTCAAGAAGCGCCATCCACATCTTTCAAAAAGCAACCAAACAACAAAGATAATATTTGAGATACATATGCATGTCTTTAGTTGTCCCTGTGTGTATATGACCTACATACATGCATACATAGCATAGCGTAGCATAGCGTAGCATAGCATCGCATAGCATAGCATACATAGCATACATAACATGCACAGCATACATAACATACATGCATACACATCGATAGACATGACATGCACATGTCTTTGCACACACACACACATATATATATATATATACATACATATATATATATATATGTATATATATATATATGTATATATATGTATATATATATATATATGATCTATTTGTATTTACATCTATCTAGTATTCCATAGTTGATTGCTTTAACGATATGTATACATATATATATATATATGATCTATTTGTATTTATATCTATCTAGTATTCCATAGTTGATTGCTTTAACGACCCCACTCCGGGCCCCCAGAGCCGGGAGGCGGGCAGCTTCGGGAGCTACTACGCCGCGCACGTGGCCGGCGCACTGGGCCCCGCGGAGCTGCCGAGGAGTGCTGGGGTTTAGGGTTTAGGGTTTAGGGTTTAGGGTTTGGGGTTTAGGGTTTAGGGTTTAGGGTTTAGGGTTTGGGGTTTGGGGTTTAGGGTTTGGGGTTTGGGGTTCGGGGTTTGGGGTTTGGGGTTTAGGGTTTGGGGTTTGGGGTTTGGGGTTTGGGTTAGGGTGTTAGGGTTTTAGGGTGTTAGGGTTTTTTAGGATTTGGGGTTTGGGGTTTGGGGTTTTAGGGTTTGGGGTTTTGGGGTTTTGGGATTTGGGGTTTTAGGTTTTGGGTTTTTTAGGGTTTAGGGTTGTGGGTTTAGGGTTTGGGGTTTAGGGTTTAGGGTTTCTAGGAGTTTTGGGTTTCGGGTTGACCCCAGAAGAATCTCCTAGCCGAATCCCCGAACATTGCTCATGCGAGGGGGACTAACCCCTAACCCCTAACCCCTAAACCCTAAACCCTAAACCCTAAACCACCCGGAGCCCTGAGAGGCTCTACCAGCAGTTCCGCACGCAGCCGAAGAAGGCCAAGAAGCAGCGCAAGGAACAGGCAGGTGTCCGGACAGGGGAGGCTTTAGCTCATCCTAAGCCCTCAACCCTAAACCCTAAACCCTAGGGTTTAGGGTTTAGGGTGTAGGGTTTAGGGTTTAGGATCCCCTATACCAGATACCCTATAAACTTACAACCCCTATACTGCGCCCCTAAAACGCCTCAAAAAGATCGACCCTTTGCCATTCTAAGGGGCCTTTAGTCCTGAACCCTATTATCACGCTGTAAACCCATGGGTTCGGGGTTTAGGGTTTGTAGGGTTTGGGGTTTAGGTTTAGGGTTTAGGGTGCAGGGTTCAGGGTTTAGGGTGTAGGTTTTAGGGCTAGAAATCTATGAATTCCTGCCCTCACTAGTACAAACCCTCTTTTCACTTAGGTTGCTTCAAAAGCCTGCTAAGGTGTTGCATTTCTTGAAGGGAAGCTGTGCGACCTCAAACGCGAAGGTCTCCAGAGCCTGTAATGTCTTTAGAGCCTGTACTGAGAACCTCCCGGCTTGAACCTGTTCAGGCTGGCGGCCAGCCCTCGCGATCCCCGCCGCCCTTCGGTGCTTCCGGGTCCTTCGGCAGCTACTACGCTGCGCACGTCGCGACAGCACTGGTGCCCGCGCAGCTGCCGAGGCCGAGTGGGGGGGGGGTTTGCGGAGGGCGGCTGGATTCCTTGCTTTGTTGCTGAGTGAGCACACTTTACACTGTTTGGGAGACTATAATCCCCTTTGGGGGCTTATGAACTCAGCAACTAAGCTTGCAGTTTCATGACCAGGGTGTTTGTGACATGTGGGTGTTTGTGACATGTGGTTTCAGGAGCCTTTGCTGGTGGGAGGGAGGAGTGCAACAAGGCATTGAACTATAAGTTCTCAGACAGAAGAAGCGTTGCGGATGATAGAACCTTCTTCCGCTTTAAGAGCTGCTCACTACCCAGCAGACTTGGGTCTCACGTGCAGCTTGACATATCCCAGAGGTTGAGGACCTGTTCTTCTATTCAGTGTCGTGTCAGATGCTGGCATCTTCAGACAGGTTGACAGGGGGGTGCTGGGTGGTTTACGGTTCGACTTGGTGTTTCTCAAGTAGCGATTCTGGTGACCGTAGCGGCTTCAGATCTACGTAGCGGAGGCTCTACCAGCAGTTCGGCTTCCAGCCCGTGGAAGCAAGGATGCAGCTGCAGGAGAAGGCCGGGCACTGGCATCATTTAGAGCAGTTCCACAGGGCGTTGCTTCGTCCCATGCATCGCAGTACCGAAGAGACGGTGTCTGTTGTTGGCGATTTGCTCAAATGCACGTCCAAAAATGTTGAAGCCTCAGTAGCCGTTAAGACCAATTTTGCAATGAGAAGCCTGGAACGGCCAGTGACACAATGGGCCTAGATTCACCAAAGTCTTCAGTTGCCGGCAACCTTTTCAGGCTGGCGGCCAGCCCTCGCGATCCCCGCCCTTCGGTGCTTCCGGGCCCTTCGGCAGCTACTACGCTGCCCACGTCGCGACAGCGCTGGTGCCAGCGCAACTGCCGAGGCCGAGCGGGGGGCGAGTTTGCGGAGAGGGTGTTCGTACGACATTGTGACATGTGGTATCGGAATAACTTGATGTCTTCGTGCCACAGAAGAAGCCTCTTCCACTTCTACGAGCGTCTTAATGTATGACTTGCCAGCAACAAACGCCGTTAATTGTTTCAATCTCTCTGGCAATTATGGGTTTTTAAAGGTGCTGTAGTCTTGTTTTGGGAGGGCCTGTTCTCAAAAGGGCTGGCCTCTTCTGTAGCCCTCTTCCGACCCTGGAACTACCTGGAAATTTTTTTCGTGCGGGGGGAACGTAAATCCGGGACTTGGGTCTTGGTTTCTTTGCTGGGAGGGTTGAAAAGGCAAGTCAACATTAGTCATCACGAGACTCTGCAGTCTGCAGCTTTTCGTCATGCTGAACCATCCGGAGGCGTGCAGGTGATTTGCGGGCGCGGTTTCTGCATTTCTCAAGTAGCGATTCTCGTGACTAGAGTGGCTACAGATCTTCTGGCGGAGGCTGTACCAGCAGTTCGGCTTCCAGCCGGGCGTGGAAGCAAGGACGCACTTGGAGGAGAAGGCCGGCACGGGCATCATTCAGAGCAGTTTGGCAGGGCCTTGCCTTGTCCCATGCCGGTTTCGAAATCCCGGCAGTGCCCGAAGAGACAGAGTCTGTTGTTGGCGATGAACAGCGTTTGTTTGCAGGGATGCGCAGAAGCTATAGTCAGTAATGTCTGGAGGTTTGTTTTGGGCACTTGTGGCAACCTTTTCAGGCTGGCGGCCAGCCCTCGCGATCCCCGCCGCCCTTCGGTGCTTCCGGGTCCTTCGGCAGCTACTACGCTGCGCACGTCGTGACAGCACTGATGCCAGCACAGCTGCCGAGGCCGAGTTGGGGGGCGAGTTTGCAGAGAGGGTGTTAGAGCATCTCAAGCGTCTCAAGACTCTGCAGCTTCTTGGTGCTCTTTCTGCGCGTGCTGAAAACTCCAGAGCGTGCGGGTTTGGTGAATGTGGTTGATAGTGGGACCGTCAGAGAGCGGGGGTATTTTACTCGCAGGTGGTTCTTAAGGTTGGGTTTCTGCTATATTCAGATCTTCTGGCAGAGGCTCTACCAGAAGTTTGGAGTTCAGCCGGGTGTGGAAGCAAGGACGCCGCTGCAGGAGAAGGCCGGCGCTGGCATCATTTAGAGTGATTCCGCACGGCTTTGCCTTGTCCCATGCCTCCTTTGAGATCGCAGTACCGAAGAGACGGTGTCTGTCGTAGGCGATATGCTCATACGCATGTCCAAAACAGATTGAAGCTTCACTACCTAGTAGCAAAAAAATCAATGAGAAGCCTGGAACGGCCACCAATGACACAATGGGCCTATAGCCTGTATAGTCACCACAGTCGTCAGGTCTCGCGATCCCCGCCGCCCTTCGGTGCTGCCGGGTCCTTCGGCAGCTACTACGCTGCGCACGTCGCGACTTCATTGGTGCCCGAGCAGCTGCCGAGGCCGAGTTGGGGGCGAATTTGCTGATCATGAGAGGGAGAAACATCTTTCTTGTGTCTTCAAAGCTGCTACAGAAGAACCTCCTTCCACGTCTACATGTTAATGTCAAGAAGTCGATTCAATCTCTCCGGTAGGGGGCCGAAACATGTGATTGCAGAGGATTTTGGGTTTTAAAGGGGCTGCATTCTTGTTTGGGAGGGCCTGTTTTCAAATCGGCTGGCCTCTTCTGGGCCTCTTCTAAGCCTCTTCCGGGCTTTTTTTTTTGGGGGGGGGGGGGGGGGGGTTGTAATTGCCGGGGGGGGGGAGGGTGGGTTAGAGGCAAGAGACCCTGCAGGTTTTTTCGTGCTCTTTATGTGCATGCTGACAACTCCAGAGTGCGAGTTTTGTTGTGTGTGTGTGTGTGTGTGCTTGTGTGTGTGCTTGTGTGTGCTTGTGTGTGCGTGTGTGATACCGGGACCTTCCGAAATGGGGGTTTTGAAGGTGCGGTTTCTGCGTTTCAAGTAGCGATTCTAGTGTCCGCAATGCCATAATGGCTACAGATCTTCTGGCGGAGGCTCTACCAGCAGTTCGCAGCCCAGCCGGGCGTGGAAGCAAGGACGCAGCTGCAGGAGAAGGCCGGCGTTTAGGGTTTAGGGTTTAGGGTTTAGGGTTTAGGGTTTAGGGTTTAGGGTTTAGGGTTTAGGGTTTAGGGTTTAGGGTCTAGGGTCTAGGGTCTAGGGTCTAGGGTCTAGGGTCTAGGGTCTAGGGTCTAGGGTCTAGGGTCTAGGGTCTAGGGTTTAGTGATTCCGCACGTCCCGTGCCGGCTGTGCGATCTCTGTCGTTGCCTGATGCTTTGGGATCACTTCCCCCCCTAACAGTCCTTAATGGGGGGGTATAGTACCCCCCTATTCTAATCCCTCTTCAGGACTGTTCGCAAAATTAAGGGGAACATATGAGCCGCACGTCCATCAACACGGAGCCTCCTCACCCCATAGCCAGAGTCACCTTTGACCGGCACCCGGAGCCTTATAACCCTAAACCCGAAAGCCTAAACCCTAAACCCTAAACCCTAAACCCTAAACCCTAAATCCTAAACCCTAAACCCTAAACCCTAAACCCTGCCCCCCCATTCCATCCTCAGTGCCCAAGGCCAAGGAGAAGGAGACAGCATCCTCGCGATCCACGGCGGTGGGCTCCGCGCGATCTCACTCCTTGGCGTCGTCGCGTCAAGGCCTTGAAGGGTTTAGGGTTTAGGGTTTAGGGTTTAGGGTTTGGGGTTTAGGGTTTGGGGTTTAGGGTTTATAGGGTTTAGGGTTTAGGGTTTGGGGTTTAGGGTTTAGGGTTTAGGGTTTAGTTTGGACGGTTTTACAGGGCTCTTATGGGGTTTGTTACAGGGCTTTTATAGGGTTTGTTATAGGGTTTTTTAGGGTTTGCATGGGTTTGATGGGGTTTCTAGGGTTTCTAGGGTTTCTAGGGTTTATATGGCTTGGGTTTTACAGGGTTTATAGGGTTTATAGTTTAGGGTTTAGGGTTGGGGTCGGATTTGGGGCCGAGGTGACATGAATTCCGGAGTCTTCCGTGTTGCTCCGTGGCACCTGTTTCCTAGGATTCAGAAAGTACCTGATGCGAACTTCGGATTTAGAAACAGTAGGCTGACGATGACATAGAGAGAGGAAAAATAATGAAGCAAGACCTTAGACTTCGCGCGACCCTGAACCCTAAACCCTAAACCCGGAACCCTAAACCCTAAACCCTAAACACTAAACCCTAAACCCTAAACCCTAAACCCTGAGCCCCGACGACCCCCGAAGCAGCGCTACTCGGCTTCGGCTGCCCGCACGGTTCGGCTGCTGGAGCCAAAGGGAAAGGGGAAGAGAGAGTCGGGTTTAGGGTTTATGGTTTAGGGTTTAGAGTTTAGGATTGTTTCCTGAATCCAGTGTCACAGTTTGTTACAGCTTTCCCGAAGCCATTCCCACAGGTGCTCTCCACATCAAAGTACTGACCCCATGTCGAATTAGCACTGTGCAGTACTTCTGAAAGATGCAGATCTGAACCTAGCCGCAAGCTACCTACTAAACCCCTAAACCCCTAAACCCCTAAACCCCTAAACCCCTAAACCCCTAAACCCCTAAACCCCTAAACCCCTAAACCCCTAAACCCCTAAACCCCTAAACCCCTAAACCCAAACCCCTAAACCCTAAACCCTTATCCGCTTTTCCTTGTGGGCTGTGTGTGGAGCTTGAAAACCGCGCTTGTGGGCCATGGAGCTCCGTCGCCTCTCGCAATTCTGGGTGCCCACTGTGGCAGTGACTGCGGCGATTTCGCTGCTGACCTACCTCATGCGCCACAAGAGGACAGCACTGCCTCTTTGTCATAGTTGGGTAACATTTTTCACCTTTTTCAGGGCACTTAAACCCAATAAGGAATCATGTTTTAACACTATCCCAACCATGAACTAGGCCTGAGAAAGCTCAGCGCGAGCGACGGAGCCAGCGGAGTCCGCCGCGCCAGGCGAGCCAGCTGGGTGTGGTGGAATCGATTTGGACCTGCCCTGGAACCTCCCAGGCCATGGAGCGCCAGGGTTCAGTGGAGTGTGTGGCCGGGAAGGGCATCGTGGGGGACCGTTACAGCACGGACGTAACCAGGGGGCGTTATAGCAACACCCCGGAGCCTGGGCGACAGATGACGCTCATTGCGGCCGAGGGCATGGAGCTCCTGGCAGACAAGTACCATCTCAAGATCGGCCCCCAAAACTGCCGCCGGAATCTTTTTCATAGTTGGGTAGCATTTTTTCATGTTTAAGGGTACTTAAGACAGAAATAAAAGAATAAAACACACTTAGTTTTTTCAATATTATCCAAAAACCATGAATTTAGGAATGTGGTGGTTCGCGGCCTGCACCCGCTTTCAGAGCTCGTGGGCCGACAGTTTCGGCTTGGAGACGTTCGGGTCTTTGCACATCGGGTCTCAGTTCCATGCATGTATCTTTGGTGGTACTTTACTGTAACTTTAGATCCTTACCCTTTTTGGGTTAATTACTTTAGATCCTTACCCTTTTTGGGTTAAATTGGGTTTCTTAATAAGGCAGCTAAAAGTTCTAATTTTTTGGCTACCCTCCTGAGTGCAGCCAAAGGTATCTCGAGGGCCTCACGAAGCAGAAGGGCCTCTTTGAAGAGTTCTACTGCGACTTGGTAGCGCAGTGGTACCCTTTTTCCCCCTTTTTGGTTGGATTCTTGGGTCCTCTTCTAAGAAGCCAACCAAAAAAAGGGTGCCCTTATCATTATTATTATTATTATTATTACTATTATTGTTATTATTATTCCTATATTTAGTATTACTATTATTATTATTCTGATGATTATTATGGTTGCTGGGCTACTCAGGTGATGCGGGGCTGAGTTGCGAGATCCTTGAAGGTGGAGCTCTTTCCGAGGGTGCTTCGGTCGAGCTCCTGCCGGGGCAGCCAGACCTCGGCCGCTGCGTGGTGGGCCGCGCCTGGACCCTCCCTGCGCTCTTCGTGCGGCCCAGAGAGCGGAGCGCAGCAGAGCGTCAGCAGGTGCTTGACTTGTCACTTTAGATCCTTCTGGCCTTTTTGGGGTTTATATTGGGATTCCTAGTAAGGTAGCCAAAAATCTAACTTACAGCTACCCTCCTAAGTGCAGCAGAGCGCAGGTGCTGGACCTCCGCCAAGCCTTGGAGGCGGAACATTCTTCGGCGACAAACACGGACAAGACATCGACACTCAAGAAGCTGCGGCTCTTTGATCAGACACATGGGCGCAAGAATGGGGCCTGGGATGGCGGCAGTCCCCAGTACTAAGCCCTAAACCCTAAGCCCTAAGCCCTAAACCCTAAACCCTAAACCCTAAACCCTAAACCCTAAACCCTAAACCCTAAACCCTAAACCCTAAACCCTAAACCCTAAACCCTAAACCCTAAACCCTAAACCCTAAGCTGAGCCAGGGATAAGTGGACCTCTGGAGATAGTGAAATTTTTGCGAGGGCGCACAGTCGGCAGTCTCAACCACGAGGCTTGCAGTCTCAATCAGCTCTCATGCGCAGAAGCACCCCATGGCCAGCAGCAGCATGATTCTCAACAATGCGAGTTCATGAGACTCACAATCGGGTTTAGGGATTAGGGTTTAGGGTTATCATGCATCCTTTCGAAGGAGTTGGCGCTGGATCCGATTAGGGGGAGCACAGAGTCTGTACAGAGTTGTAGGCTGCGCACAGACGGCTGGCATGAAAGTAACAGCCATTTGCTGGGGCAGCATCTTCCTCACACGTGCCCGACACGCCGACGAAGGCAACAACGAAGCTGTTCCTTTACCCCTAAACCCTAAACCTAAACCCTAAACCCTAAACCCTAAACCCTAAACCCTAAACCCTAGAAAGGTTCTAAGCCCTATGAGCCTTCGGTGTTGAGGGCCTTAAGGGGGCTGGCACTCTGCTGGAAGATGACAGCTCCGGAGCATCCGCAGTCTCACTTCCAGGCCTTTCCTTCGCAGCCCTTTAGGTTTAGGGTTTAGGGTTTAGGGTTTAGGGTTTAGGGTTTAGGGTTTAGGGTTTAGGGGTTTAGGGTTTAGGGTTTAGGGTTTAGGGTTTAGGGTTTAAGTTTTAGGGTTTAGGGTTTAGGGTTTAGGGTTATCATCATGTGCAGTACGGCAGACATGGCCTGTGTTTTTGGGGCTCTTGAAAACCGTGAGCAAGTTTCCTT